TACAGTCCTTCAGGACACTCTACACACACACACACCCTAACCATGATGATGTAGCAAACTTTGAGATATTGGTTGAACTTAACTTCACATATATATTTAACTATAACCGATCAACATTGGGGAATATCTATATTTTGAAATGAGAAATAATACATTATTTCTCTTTCAAATCAAAAGTTGAATCCATAAGCAATAAACAAACCATTGCTGAATTCTCAGGGGTATTGCTGCCATAGCCTTATGCGGTCTGGTGTGACCTGTAGCTTACGGCAGCTAATGTTAGCTATGGTAGCTAACTTCAGACATATATTGTGAAACACTGCTGAGTTACTTCTCTGACTTTGACTATTCTCTACTTGTGCTACTGTTAAACTACTGTTAAACGTTTCGTAACAAGTGTCGCTGTCCAGTAAAAGCTACATACAGCAGGATCATATTAACAAAACCCCAGTTAACAAATTAAACTAATTAACATAATGCCGAAGGAAGCTGTAGCGACGTCTATGGTACCTAGTACATCTCAAGAGAGGAAAAAACTACTATGCACTTTGTTTAGAATGACCTATTATTTATATTTCATCATATTGAAAACACTGGACCTGGATATTAAAATAACACAAAATCCCAAATATGTGCATGCTTCTTTGTCCAAAATCAAATCAAAACTGCATGAAAACAGCATTGAAGAGTATAAATTAATAATAACTAATATTTGCACATTCGCTTAAAAAAACCTGCTAGATTCTGTAGAAATTGAACTGGGGACATCACTTTGATTCTTGACAAGCCACCTGAAGTCCAACATTAGATGACAAAAACACATGTACACACACCTCCATCCATTGTGGCCCAATCTGTTGATAAATCAACCATAACAGGTTAATGTGAACTCCTCTAAAGTCGGGCACACAGTCAGTGACATACGGTGGTGAAAGAAGGCAGAGCAGGATGGGCAATGAAACATTCACTGCCTCTGCAGATCAGTCCTCCAGTTAATTCAGAGCTGAATAGTACCTCCAGCAACAAGCTGTGTCCTTGTACCACACTAACTTTTTAATGAGAGCGTCTGCTCCCAACAGAGCTCATCGGTCCAACCTTGGGCCGTCAGCCTCCGCAACATTTTCCATGACATTTTAGAAATGTTTTTGAAAAGGGCAGTAAAGTTTGTATAACAGCATGAAGTTGATTGAAACAATCTCCAGAGCTGAGCTGAACAGTTTCCTGATGACTTATTGATGTGACAATGGTATTAAAATATCAGATAAAAAACACTGAATATAACTCACACAGAATAAAAGCAATAATTCAGTTATAATTATAGCAGTTATTAAAGTTATTGCTTTTGGCAGCGTTCTGGTAGTCAAGTGGTTAAGACACATTCCTAAATCAAACAAAAAATACCAAAAACTACAACTGGGATATTTGTTGCATATCATCAGCACCCCATTACACAGAGCAAATAGCAGACCTAATAAAATAATTATAATAATACTTTCATTAGTACGATTTTACTGTATATTGACTTCAACTTATAGTTGAAATAAAGTCTGAACATGTTGCATTTCAGTTTAATATTTTTCTTCTTCAAATGTTTTCTGTTTTTGTGAAGATTAAATGGATGTTGAAAAATCTTTACCCTCTTTAATCTGAAAAATATCAAATAAGAATCCTGAGTAGATATATATAGACAATCCTTGGTTTGCCTTTGCAATTAATAAATTGAAGGTATCCATAGTAACAATTCCCATACGAGTTTCTAACTCAGGGTTTCTGCAGCTTTCATCAGGTAAAATTTAAGACTGTTAAAAAGACTAACCTTTTTAAGATAATTATAAATGCAAGACCTATTTCAAGTCCATAATGGCTACTAAGTATATGAAGGAAAATCTGTATTGGTTCCTTCTCGGTTCGGTTTTGTAGTTGCTACAGTATGATCAAAACAAAAATTTCCTAAAAAACACATTTAAAAGCAAGACTAAAAAATGCAACTTTATACAAATTATGTTAATTTCATTAATCGAATGAATTTTGAAAAATCACCTATCAAAATCATATTTAAGAAATTTTAAGGCCTAAAATTGAGATTATGTGATTTTAGATTTTTAACTATATAATATAATACAACATGAAACCAATGCTGGAAAAAACTAAGTAAAAGTAACTTTCTAAAAGATTTCAGATTTTTCATTTTGTGCTGTGTTTAAATGGATCACATAACAGAGACAGCCCAACAGCAGAAAGTGAGGGGGCAGTTACGAGGTAGAAGCAATGTGCCACATAGAAGAAATCAGATTAGTTGAAATACTGTTTTTTTATACTTAAGGTATCAGTAAAATCATATTGCCGTTCAGCAATAAAAGCAATCAATAGCAGCAGCAGAAGTTAAATCCAGCATATCTCTCCAGCACTCTAACCACTGATAAGTTTTTATCCTTTTGCCTTGACTCCTTCCTTCACAGGAATTGATTTTTCCACACTCTTGCTCTTTCCCTCCCTCCCTCTGCACCCCCGTTGTTTCCCTCCTCTGTTCGGATCTCTTCATCTCCTCTCCTGCTGCTCCGTCTTTCATGTCTCCCTCCTCTCTCTTTGACAGAGACAGAAACTCTATTTCTCTTCCTCAGCCACCCAGGGGCACAGACCTCAGTCCGCTGTCGAGCCACTCGCTCCCCAAGACTATCTGCAGGTGAACACTGGAATGAGTTCAGCCTGATACTGTAGAGCTTGGAGCTAGAGTGAAGGCTGATTTTCAACCTTCTTCTTCTGTCCTGACCAGAATAAGTGTCTTAAATCACAAAGAGCTGGTAACCTTCCCAAACACAAGTTAATGCAACACTGCCTGGTTGCACACATCCTCTATGTGCCCATGCTCTAAGGTGAGAGACAAGATAGATGTCTTCAAAAAGGTAAAACGATTTTACAGTAAAGAAACCAACAATCTCCAAAAAACAGTTTTTATGGCCCATCCAAATAGTTTATGTAACGTATCTGAAGAAGGTTGGGCGACATTTGAAGGAGCAGTGGTGGTTTCTTTGGGCAGAAAGTGACTTCGCCTCGCTACAGTGGGGGGGGGGTGTTCCAGCCTGCTGCCCTCTGTTTCATGTCATACCATCTCTCTCTCTGTCTCTCTCTGTCCACCCCCCCCCCCCCCCCCCCATTTCCTGTCTCTCTTCAACTGTCTGTCCAAAAAAGCCCCCAAAAAACAAAACCTGAACATAAAACCAGGGTTTTTTATTACACATTTAGCAAGCTCTCTGTGCCAAAATGCACAGCTTGTTAAAATAACCATGATATGACCAACAGCAGTCTGAATTAACTTGGACCTGGCACCTGATACCTAAAACCATATAGTCTCTTTCTGAACCTAAAATAAAAGCTGACTTGGAACAGGGTTCAGGCATTACAAGTCAAAACATAAAGCGCTTCGCAAATGAATACATGTTTCTACTACCTGGATCAAAACCTAATGAGATCCTCTTTGGCCCATGACATTACTTTCCACTGAATGTCATTGAAATATATGGAGTCATTTTTGGGATATCTTGCTAACAGACAAACCTACCTAATCAACTATGTTCCTGCCAAATGTTCAGCAAACTGTCTGTGATAATGATGCACATATACAAATTATAGTCCTGCCATGATGTAAATTAAGGATCACATGCCTGAAGTGTAAAGCTCACCAGCTGTAGCTGCAAAGGTACAGTGTGTCTGATAGAATGTGCCTGCAGCCCGTTGAGAGTGAGAGGGTAAACCTGGGTTAAGGCCTGGAGGAACCTTCTACATCCCTGCATACTCAGCACAAAGCCTCTCTCCCTGTCTCAGTCTCTTTGTAGAGAGGCTGATCAAAGAGCGGGGCGCACTCAGAGGATTCACCACGTCAGGGAGCTTCTGAGCGGATGAACACGGACATCCCATTATGTGTCCCAGTGGGGTACGCTGAGGGATGTGAGAGTGCACACACCCTCGTGTGCCTGCGTGTGAGCAACTGTGAACAAACCTGTGAGTGTGGGCTCACACACGAGCAGCTGTGCTTTGGTCCTGAGCGTTCGATTCTGTGCACGTTTGAAAATACTTGGATTTGGAGGGTGAGAGTGAATGATGACTGAGTTTTCGAAACATCTGAATATGCCAACGGTCTGCGTCTTTGATCGGTAATGAGGAAGGTAGGGTCGAACTGAGCGGCGCTGCCTGTTATTTCAGATGAGAATCACAGCATCAAAGGCTTTTTCTCTCCTCATCGTTACTTCTCTCCTTCTGCCAGTGCATCTCTGCTTAACCTCAGGCGTCCTTGGCTCACCTCTGCCCCCTCCACACCCTTTTGAAAATGCAGAGAACTTGTCAAAACCTCTTTAACTCTTCCCCCTCTGCTGCAGCAGTCTGTGTACTGCCACTGAAACAGGACACCTGAGTTCAAGCTTCCATCTTTGGGCAGTAAAATTAATCCCAAAAAGCTGCAGGACTGCTGCTCTGTTACTAACCTCTGACTTCCCTGCTGATATGGGATAAAGCTAAAAAATTATTTTCCTACTTATGTATTTAGAGGACTGTGTAGACTACACAGTGTTTGTAATGTATGAGTTTAATTTCACAGGTTTTAATTTAAACTATTCTCTCGTATATATCCTTCCTCTGTCCCTACTGTGCTCCAGCTAATTAGGCAGAAAGAGAAAAAGAAAAAGGATTTCTTGGCAAATTCTAAAACAATCTTCAGTTTTCCAGAAAGTGTTTATCCTACTCTAAAATAAGTTAGCTTAATTTAAACAGCAAATTAGATGAGAATGATTGGGCTTTCCACTAGCAAACTTGGCTTTACTTTAGGATTTGGGGAAAATCCTTGATGAGTCACTTGCTGTGGCTTTTAAGCCTATTTTAAGACTGTGTAAATCGCTCTTCTCTCACCATGTGCCAAGGTATCACACACACCAGTTATTTGTGTGTGTGTGTGTGTATGTGTGAGCGTGAGAGTGTGAGAACCCACTTGTGATGTATTTGTCACTTACCTCATTCTTTGATTCATGTATCTGCAGCTGGGAAGTGTATGCGAAGGTATTCTCTGGAGCGGCAGTCAGCCTGTGGAAGGGGAGAGGAGAGGGAGAACGAGGATGGAGAGAGCCAGAGAGAGAAAGTGAGAGAAAGGGAGAAAGAGAGAGAAAGCGCAAGAAAGAGAGAGAGAGAGCACATTTAACAAGTTGTCACAAACTGTTTTCAGTTGCTCTGCTGTGTGAGTAGAAACGCCCTTACACACTGAACATGTTCTTCTGAAGTTTGAAATTAAAATTAAGTGCCTTGATCCTGACTTTACACAGAACAAACTGAGCTCTTCTGTTTGCTGCCAAATCTGACAAACAACATAAATCACTGTGTGACACAGTTAGTTGTTTGTACAAATGTTTCTGAGGCAGTGCTGCCTTCTAAAAATCATTAGGATATTACAGTGCCCCTACTCCAGTCCTAAGTTTTGAAAACTCTTTCTATGATCTCCCTTGTGGCTCCACAAATGACAAAAATGCCTCACTTATTTTGAAAGGGTTGCTGTGGGTTAATCTTTTCAAAGGTTTGTAATGAACCAAAACTCATGCTATGGAGATAAAGTAAAGTTACAAAAACGTCAGAACTAAGGGATAGTAGCGGGGTTCCCCAAGGCTCCATGTCAGGGCCTCTCTTGATTAAATATTCCAATATATAAATAATATGGCTATGATTATTTTTTTTATGATAATAAAAGATAAGATAATAAGTCGTTATCACGATTTTTTATGATAATAAAAGATAAGATAATAAGTCGTTATCACGATATAACAGCGCATAAAAAAAAAAAATCCATGGCCATTCTCGGCTTCCGTAGTTTTGCCCAGATGTAGTAAAAGCTTTTTATCTATGATTCAATCATCTGCATACAACAGAAGCTTGCATTTCACTGCAGCTGACATATCATTTGTAATATAACACATAATGATTTATAATTTATAATACATTATAACAGTACATAAGGAAGAGTACCAATATGAAGCCTTGGGGCAGTGTAGGATGGCTGCCTGTACTGGGTAGAGAACCTGGACAATATCACAGGGTGTCACACTCCTGAATATATGTGTTTGCAGATACCAACAGTCCATATCAAACATGGCTATACCACAAGGGCCAGTGTGTTTATGTATCATGCCTTGAGCCTTTTTATTCTGGTGCTGTACCAAGAAACAGCCTGCCTGTCCTTCTAATTTTTGACAGGTTCAAAATGAGAGTCAGAGTTTATCTGTGGGATAAGTTGAAAGGACATGTTTAATGTCTGTCTTTTAATATCATGTTAAGACATGTTTTCACTTGGATTGGTGTGTTTTATGGATCAAATTAAATCTTTGCAAACTGGAAGAAGGAGAGACTCTGGGCTTTATTTTTCTAGCTTTTGCCATCATGATTATTAATAGTAGCAGTTTGATTACATTTGGCCAATTTGTTCTGTCTTCCTTCCACCAGCATCAAAC